ATTTTTCAATAAAATTAGCTTCCCTCATTATTTTTTGCTACCTCATACGGTCCGAAGTGTACTTAATAGATGCAGTTTTTTACGCGGCATGAAAGGAGTATATTTCGAAACGTGTGAAGTAGCAAAAGATAATGAGAGAAGCTAATTTTATTGAAAAATCGAATGTCTTCTTCCACAGGAAAAAATGCGTTTTTTTAACATTTTTTGCGATTTTCCAACCGGTTTTTGAATTTTTTTTATTTCAATAAGGAAGGCTCAAAATTTTTCTGATACATACAGTTTTGTGGAGCTCGTTGAACTCTATCGAACCATGTAAAAATTTCTGAGAAAAACGTTTTACTCCATTTTTGAATTACTGGCATCTTAATTGTCTACGCCAAAAAAGTATAGAATTTCTGAAATTTTCGTAAGTTCGACATTAAAAGGCCTTCATAACCTTCAGTATTTAGTACCAATAAATCCAGTTTTTGACGCGCTTTAGTTTGATATAAAATACATTTGTGATATCATTGATACTTTAGGTTATGGAGGGGGAGGCAAAGGTTATGTGCCACCCTGTACATTTTATTCTATCAAATTAAACAAAGTTGGCATGGTACGAAATCTTTCTTGTGATAGCTTAAAATTAGTATTCAAATGATGAATCTGAGAGACTTAGTAGAACCTTTATTAATCAATGTCTGTTTAGTTGGAGGAGATGACTCAGAGAAATCTGAACAATATGCAAAAGAGATTGTTATGACTTAAAACGCTATTGACAATGGTACCGATATTATTAAGTTAGCTGACTATGAAGTTGGATGTAAAGATCATCTTGAATCTTTCTAAATAGATTGCCGTGGTAAGCTAAGCCGCTGGTAAAAGAAGTGTATAACATTTTTCTTTGGCATGTAATATTTATGGGGTTTAATTGCATTTTTTCTTCGCAAATTATTATACAGAACAGCTTTAGAAATTCATCAGCTTCTTTACTCTTTTTTGAAACATTATTTATCGTACATCATGTAGTCCTTCTCCCTCCATCTATGTATAAAAGTGCTGATTACTGTTTCATAAGGCAGAAAATATTTGTATTTTCACCTTCTCGTCTTGAGTTCAGAGCCCTGCAAGTTGCCACTTTTTAGCAACCTATAACATAACCTAAAAAAATTTATTTAAAATGTGTTATCATCAATTCCTTAGCCACAGGCCTGTACATTCCTAAGACAGAGGCTTAAAATTCCCTCAGCGTTAGCAAGAGCAACGATTGTAGCTGGCGTTAGTGCAAGGACATAGTGATGCATGTTCCTTATCCGTTTCTACTGATGAAGGTTTATAAAGCGTCGAAACGTTTGAAATCGAATAATAAAAAGAAATTTATGATATGAGTTATAAAGAACTTCTCGTATTTTTCAACAGTAAATATTTGAGTTATCAGCCTGAAAGCTTGAGCAGAAAATCTATTTTTTATAACATCATATAATGTCATAATTGCATAAAAATCGCGAAATTTTCATCTTTTCGTTTTTAACAATTGGACTACGAACAGCTCAAAATGAATGCACTTGTGACGCTAATTTGCTTTCTCACTATATCTCCGTGCACTGTCTATTGCCGTCAGTGTCGCGTGTGCGATTGTAGTATACCAACAAATGGCAATAATACTTGTTCGACATTGTCTGAAAGTAACTGTGGAATCCGAGATGTTGGAAACGAATTTTGCATAATATTAGTTGATATTACACCAACTGGTCAGCGAAGAACATTTTCATCCATTCCAGATGGTGTCACTTCTGGCTATCTACGTGATTCTCATTTCATTACCTCAACAGAATCGATTACACAATTAGACACATTATGGCAATTAAATGTAATTTCTACATATTATGCGTGTGATTGGGATGATTGCAACCAAGTTGACATTATGAATATCCTCCCGCAATCGTTCAGTTTAAATGTTGACCCACAATTTCTAGAATTATCGCTTACTAATGCAAATGTATCGATTGAGAGTTGCCGTTCGTGCACACAGTGCGCCGATGATCTGTCCAATATTACCTGTGATCCAACAACATGCGTCAATGGTTATTGTCTGATTGATGAGTATACCAGTCAAGAACAGAATGTTGCTCAATGCAAATATTATTTTTTTAGCTATTGTATTCAAGGAGATACTGATCCAAAGGTGACGATAACTGCAACGTATTACATTGACCTTAATATCAGTCAGAACCTGGCGATTACAGAAATTGATATTATGTGTAAGAAAGATGACTGTAATGATATAAAATTAGTTGAAGAATTAAAAACGAAGGTGATAGCTAATATTACTCTAGACGATCTGTTTTACGATCGACGGCCACAAACTTTTGCATCGAGTGGGACCATAAACCCGACATTTGTATCATCGATTAGCACCATATCTAATTCGCCGACACCCGTATCGTCGATTAGTACCATATCTAATTCGCCGACACCCGTATCGTTGATTAGTACCATATCTAATTCGCCGACACCCGTATCATCGATTAGTACCATATCTAAGTCGCCGACACCCGTATCGTCGATTAGTACCATATCTAATTCGCCGACACCCGTATCGTTGATTAGTACCATATCTAATTCGCCGACACCCGTGTTATCGATTAGTACAACATCTAATTCGCCGACACCCGTATTATCCATTAGTACAATATCTAATTCGCCAACAAATCTGGGCGACACATCATTACCGAGTTCTACCGCAATAACCAGTGCTTGCTCAACAAACCTGATATATTCGCTCCAGCTTTGGTTTATAATCCTGGCTATATTTCTCATATTTTCAAGAGATTCAATCTATGATCATTTATATCTTCTCAAATGAAAAACTCATGACCGTTTCTGTTGTTATTAAGCCTCCACTCTTCTAGAAATGTTTTTTTCATTGTGTAATATTCGACCTTAATGTAACTTTCAGGAAATCTTTTTCAAAATAAAGCATGACTAAGATGAGAATTTTATGGGGTTTTGCTAAATCTCTGCGTAAAAATGAGACTGTCTTCTGCGAAGATTTCAGAATAGCGAACTGGAGAGCCAAAAAGCACTCTTCTGGCTGGTAAATCTAAAAATATCTTCTACATTCAGAAAGTCGCCTGGTCATTTTCTCAAAACATCCCATTATCCATGTGTATTGGCAATATGACTTCGTTTCTTACGTTTTCGCCTTTTGAAACTATACAAAGGATGCATTTCTTTCTGTAAGATCTAATTTTAAATTTTTCGTGTTTTATTTACTTATTAGCTTAATCATGACAATGGGTTGATCATGCTTATCATTATAAAAAATATTTCTATCAGAAAAATTGTAAAACTCAGCAGAAACGACTTCTTTTGTACACATGTTTATCTGATATTCGAAAAATCGAAACTTACTCAGAATCAATCACAATGAAATTTTACGTTGCTCAGTAGACATAGTCAGGATCCTACACTATTAAATGCTCCACCTAAAATATTAAACTGAAAGTCTCTCTTAACGCTCATTTGGAAGAATGCATGTATGACTATTTAACACAAGAAACGATACATACATCGAGCACAGTTCATTTGCCAGTTAAAACATGTTTTTTCCTCAGAGTTACGTGCCACAATGCTCAAGAACTAAGATATTGTTCTATTTCATACAAAAAATGATTTCTACTCTATTTTATCTGCTCTATATGTTCTTTTTACTTGAGAACAGTAAAAAACATAGTTGCACTTCGGACGATTTCTAGAAAACCTTTTAAAAAACCAAAGTATTTTCTGTTGACTTTTATAGCTTTTATTGAGTTTCATGATATAGAGCAGGTAAAATAGAGTACATGTTGATATTCTGACATAATTCGGATGGATCTTGACTGGGTTATGAAATTTTTAACTTAGTTTTATTCAAATATAGGCAAAATGGGTTACTTCATCTAATATACATTTTCACTAGGTTTCTGGACCTGTTTTGAAAAACAAATATGGCCAGAAGATTCAGCGCAGTCGATTACCTGTGTTTCCATTTGTTTTTGAGACTACCACATCTAAAGAAATATTCACCCTGGGGCTTCGAGGAAATCCGAGGCCACGCATAAACCACAAAAAACTAAGAGTTCGCTTGATTCCCATTTTAAACAGAACACTTTGGGCTATCTACGTATGAATAAAAATCGATAGGTTGCCGTTTTAGTTTAGAGAGATACAAAGTGCTTTTCCAGCGATCCTTTGAAAATTCGATCTGTGAAATTTTTCCGAAACCAGTTTTTGCTTACACAAGCATAGCTTAAGGTATTGGCTATCGAATGTTGAAACGTGCTTGTTAATATCTTGCGTTGTTCACGGCTTAAAAATAAATTTAACTCAAACAAAGATCGGGAATGAACGGGTTAATGGAAAAATGACCCAAAATCAAAGAAAAATATTTTGACACTATAGGTACTTGAAAGTCTGGAAAAACTTTATTTCCAACCTACCAAGTCCTTCGCAGGCAATATACTGGTTATTCACTTTTTGACTCAGGATCGAAAATGCGACTTTCTCTGCTTTTCAACAAAAAAAACATAACTAAGCCTTGTATTGAAACATAGGTTTCTCCATATACTCGATCAACTGGTATCCTTAAAAAATCGTTTCTGAAAATTTCTAAGCTTGGGCCTCTAGAAATCCAGGTTTTCTGGAAATCTGAGGCTTTGTGTGCTAGCCATTACAATTCTAGAGATATGTTTGGGGGTGTGATAAAAGTTAGGGGTGGGCATTTTGATGTATTTTTCAAATTTCTTCCTTTAGAAATAAGCTGAAGTCTTGGTATTTATAGCATTACTTGTGATACCCATTTGACATATATGGTAAAAAACGTGTTCTTAATTCAATGTAGTTCGGTCAGGAGAGAGTCAGAAGGAGGTGGGACAAATTGTATGTCACAATGACGTCAATGTCAATTACTCAAAAACGAAAAAGCCTATTAACTTGCGGTTTTCAATAATCTGTAGTGCCTACTTTGGTGAACTTTTTCATGGAAAAACATTTGACTGACAGTGCTTATTGGCTGCGCAGTAGACTCAAAAGGAGGTGGGACACGATTTCTGAACTTTTCGAGGACCACAAATTTCATCGAACTTTTCACAGAAACTAAAAATATTAGGCAAACTAAGACTGCAGATTGACAGAGTAGAAAAAATACTGCATAAAAAGCAAAAAAGTTTTGTGCCACCTCCCCTTAAGAGAAGAAAAATGCTAATTAAGAAAAAAGAACGCGCAGGAATCACTAAGAAAAGAAGGGAAAAATAACCCAAAAACAAAGTGTTTTGCTTACTGTACACTGAGGAAATAAGACAGAAAAGAGATCTTAGCAGTATATATAGAGCAAAGTGCCCGGAACAAAATGGCATAAGCTTCCGAAAGTTTGATTTAGTATTAACGGAGAACCATACAGGTTCATTAGCTTAGGTCGAACGGTACAAAAATCACCAGAATCGCTCATTTACTCTTCAGTGGAAGAGAACAAAGTGTGTAGTAGGCAGCTCGTCATCCTGTCGACCATTTATTTCGTTCAATAAAACAAGAAGAAATTACATCGATTATTAGTAGACACAACACTCTAGAAAACATGCGACTTATTCCATCCGTCGTACTCCTGTATTGATCTAAGTTTTTTTCTTCCATCTTATTTGAAGACACATGAAACTATCGGTCTTATTTAAAACAAGCGAATAAAGAGGTCTAATTTTTATCTTTCAAAGGAAAATACACTAGGATTTTCTTCATTTTCCTGTTATAAAATACTGACAATAGCTAGAACGAAAGTACTCATCCATTCTCATGAGATTTGATCATGCATGATCTAATTAAAAAATTCGAACGTTATAGAAATAAGATATAAGTTTTTTGCCCTTAAAATAAGATTTAATAATGTACTACCCTCATGGCTTAGTATTTGCAGCCCATACAGCTCTTTCTACTTCTGTTCTCTATGCATCGATCTGCGCATGTCTGATAACGTCGCAGATCGTCCCGCTTTTTGCACCGTACTTCGTTAGATTCCCGTGTTTTAAATTTACTTTGAAACATTCTAGAAAATTGGATGCCACGCTTAAACTAAGGAAAAAAACCTCAGGACAAACCGCCATGCACTGTCACACTTTTACGTGTCTATGATTCATCAGTATGACTAACAGCCACGTTAACGTGGCGACGTGTCGTGTAGGTTATTGCTCAATCAGCACGGTGACAATAAAAACAAGTCACAGTTAGGACAAAACCGAAGTCAGATGAATCTAATACTAACGCTGTTTCGCGGTGGAAGTCGCCCTGCGTCGTTGCCGGCTCTCACCCACGTGGACATTATCGAATCGCTCATTGTCTTCAAGCAAACAGACAAGTTTTCCTCGTATCTCCGATGGAACAGCGATCGTTTACTCTGTGCGAAAGCCTATTTCAAGCTGTTGCCAAACTTGACCGACGACTACGCCTTGATCCTTCTGTCTATTCTCGTCAAATCATCATTGAAATCCCAAGAACTGTTGGCTATCCAGGCGAGTCAACTCTGTCTTTGGATTTCCAAGCGCAATTTCAACGCATGTGAGCAACTTCTCCGTCTTCCCATTCAATCCTCATCGGCCTTCGTACTGCCGACGTGGATCCTTGTGAAACTTATCCATGAATGTCCGTCTTTCGAGCAGCTGACTCAATGTTTGTTGTTGTTGATCGAGCGAAACCTTCCATACGATGCTGATTATGTCTGGTGGATGTTACTTGTAATTCTTGAACAGTTCACCGAAGGTGATGAGAAAATCATCGAATTCTTGCTCCGAACAAAGACAAAAGTGAATTTACTGTTTGGTTCCAGTGCGATCAGTGGTGTGACCCCACTAATGCTTCTTCTGCATCTGTGCACACACGACAAATGTACATCTCTCATCGATGAGCATTTATCGACTATCGCAGATTCATCATTATTACTCCAAGTTGACAAGTGGGACCGGTCGTATTTAATCCACTTATTGTGTGGCCAATGTACACACGAATATTTGGATGATCCATCCGAGCTACTATCCGATGATCCTGTCAAATTGACCGAACAACTTCTTTCGCGCTGTTCACACGCTGCCTTTGTCCTTAGCAAATTCTCGGAACTTCTCGCCATAGGTAACAAGTTTCAATCACCTATCAAAATGATTTTCACTTCCAAATTCTGTCTTTCCCTTCGCGTCCTTCTCTTCAATCACTTTCTCGAGCATAGTTCCTCATTAGCCATACTCAACTTTAGCGAAATTTTCGCTCTCTTTCCTCCCCAATACGTCCGAATCTGTTCGAACAATTTCAGACAACTTCTTCGCCACCAAAACTTGAATCCTGTTCTGGTTCATATACTCAAACAGACAGGAAACGGTCTCGACTACACACCGACTATCAAATTTCTCCTTGGACAAGGTGCTCGCATTGACAATATGAGAGATGTTTCGTCGTCCATTCAACACCTTCTCCTTCGTACCCATTCGCCTGTACCTTTTCTGCTGCTCGACTACACCTTCTACATTGATATGGCTTATGAACACGCGTTGTGGTTCAATGGACAAGTTGGCCCGGTAGATTTGTATGTGTGGCGTCTAGCACAGTGTGGCTATCACAATCGGTTTCTATCGTGTTTTGAACAATTGCAATCGCAACTCTTACCTGAAACAGTTCAATTTCTCAAAACTATTACCCATGACGTACCGCAACGGTTGTCTACACTGTGCATACAGCGATTGCGAGACACATTGGTGAATTTAGGACATGCAACGAAAGAGAAACTAAGAGGAGAACTGTCTGTC